CAAGAGTTGGTCGCTTAACCAACTGAGCCACTCAGGTGCCCCAGCACAAACTAGTATCTTAAAACAACACAAATCTATTATCTTACAGTTCTGGAGGTTGGAAGTCCAAAGTGGGTCTCCCTGGGCTAATTAATTAAGGTGTTGGCAGGGTTGTATTCCTTTCCAGAGGCCATAGGGGAGTACCTGTTCTCTTGCCTTTTTTAACTTCTGGAGGCTGCCCACATTCTTTGGCCCACTTTTAAAGCCAGCAAAGGTCAGCTGAGTCTTTCTAATATCTCATCTCTCTGACTCACTGTCTCTTCTCTGGCTCTTCCTGCTTTTAAGGACCCCTGTGATTATAACTGGGTCCACCCAGATAATCCAAGATAATCTCCCTAATTTAAAGTCATCTGATTAACAACCTTAATTCTCTCTCCTGCCTTAATTCTCCTTTGGCATGTATCATAATCACAGGTTAAGGGAATTAGGACAAGGATGTCCTTGAGAGGACATTATCCAGCCTACCACAGGTAGGTTGGGGCCAAATTATGGGAGCTTTAAGTACAGCCACTGAAGAGTTTTGATCAAAGGAATGGCATGATGAAAGCAGTGTTTTGGAAAGTTTAATCTATGCTCTGTATGCTATCTAGAATATACCACTAGAAAAATCAACCCTGGGGGCGCCTGGGTTTCAGCTCAGGTCACGATCTCACAGTTTCCTGGGTTCAAGCCCCATGTCAGTCTCTGTGCTGGGAGTGTGGAGCCTGCTTGGGATTCTCTTTCTCCTCTCTCTCTGACCCTCCCCCACTTGTGCTGTCTCTGTCTCTCTCAAAATAAATAAATCTTTTTAAAGAGAAAGAAAAGAAAAATCAACCCTGAATTTCCAGCTTTGTCATTGATCCTCCCTTCCTCACTCCTTCCTTTTCCCTTTCACCCTTCCCTTCCTTCTTCTTAGAATAGCTTATATCCACAGATGCTTGATCAGACAGAATTCATTGTCCTGAACACGAATACAGCACTGTTTCTGATTGTGTTCACTGTAAGACCTTTTCACCATGTTATGGAAGGAATACTATGCTACCAGTCAGGAGACGTGAGTTATGACTCAAGCTCTGTCAGTAATTTGATTTGTAATCTTAGGGATATCCTTTAGTCTCTCTGTGATGCAGTCCTCCCTCTTTGTAATCAGGATGATAATAGCCTGTCTGACATGCTCATCTGACAGAGATATAAATATGAATTTATTCCAAAATAACGTAGCATATTTTTATTTTTTGTCACAAGTAGTTGGCTTGTGACTTTAGAACTTTTTGTTTTTCTTTTTGTATATTGAAGAACCAAGGATCAAACAAAAAACAACAACAAATAAAAAGCTCAATGATCCATGCCTAATTGACCTTCTACTCTCCTCACCCTTTTTCTCTACAGATAGATACCAGGGCAACTAAGTCATAGCTGGTCAGGTACTGTTTTATAGACCTGTTTTCAAGACCGGACTGCTAGGCAATAAGAGTCTTAAAACCCTCACTTTGAGGAAGATAATTTTAATTTAGCTGAATGGTTTTGTGGAAGCTGGTTATGCATATGAAGGAATAACTCAGATTTATGTTATGCTTTATAAATAAACAAGACAGACCACTGGTAAAAATCCTAAAATGTTTGTGATTCATAACTCAAAATTGTTTGCTCTGAGCTGTTTGCAAACTTTCCGTTGGTCTAATAGATCAGAATGAATCAAATTCAAAACCTCTTCTCTCTATTGTTGCTCTGTCAAAGTTTACATAGCCATCAAAAAGAAAAAAAAATATATGCAGGTTTTACAATATGAAGGCTTCACATTGACAGTATAGTTGGTATTGCTTCAGTACACGTGACTCTTAGAGTAAATGTTTCACTTGTCTATAACAGAAATATGACGTAAGCTATAAATATGAACCTTACTGTAATTAAAAATTTTCTAGTAGTCACATGCAGAAAAGTAAAAAGAAAGAGTTGAAATTAATAATGTATTTTTAATCAGGAATATCATGTCAACACGTCATCAATATAAGAAATTATTAATGGGATATTTTACTTTTTTTGTATTAAGTCTTTGAAATTTGGTGTATATTTTATACATAAAACCCATCCAATTTGGAGTAGCCACAGTTTTCAAGCACTCAGTGGCTACGTGTGGCTGGCAGCTACTGTGTTGGACAGTGTGGGTCTTCTGCGGATGTATCTACATAATTCATGCATGAAATTTTAGAGCCTTTCCTTAAAGCTGTCTATATCGCCTTGTCTAATCCCCTCACTTCCCTTCACAGTCTTGCTCTGATCCTCATTTCATTCCATATTGTTCTCCCTTAGACGTTTCCTTCCCTTCGTTGAAACATATTCCTCTCTCTCGTACTCTGTCAAGTCTCCCTATCCTGTTTTGCTGAGATACTCAGGAAAGAAAGTGCTGTTAACATTATGACCTCCTACCGACCACCATACCCCCTCAAAATATGTGTTGCCAGTAGATCTCACCAGTGTCAGTACCATGGGGAAATGAAATGAAGTTCTTCCTCCTCTTTGGCAAAGTCAGGAATCCCTGATAACAGTGGTGTCTGATAGGAAAAACTAGTCAGGAGTATATAACTTGTAGGCTTTAGATCTATTATTACAAAATACAGAATAAGAATCGTATGTTTTGCTATTACTAACACTTTGCATTTAACCAGTCCCAGAAGCCAAAACAGTTAATAGTTACCTCAGAAATGGGATATAAGTATATAGTTCAATTTTGCTGACTAGGTTAGAGCAAAGGACCATAATCAGATGTTCCTGCTAGACCATCTTGCCTCTTTTCCTTCCTCTTTGTAATCATGTCTTAGAATTTATAATTCCTAGGTGTTTTGTAGTCATGCATTATTTACCTCTCACAACGCATTATATAGCCCCAGTTTATAAATGCACAGCCATGCAGTGGTTTTGTTTTTTGCTAAGTAACTCAAAAAGTCAATGCCAGAAATCCAAAAATGAAACTAAGAAAATTCCATTTTTAATTGCATTTAAATACTATTTAAGAATAAATTTAACAAAAGAAGTGTATAAAACATGTATTCCAAAAACTACAAAACACTGTTGGAAGGTCTGAATAAATGGAAAGTATCCCATATTCATCTTTTCTTAATATTGTTGAGGTACTTCTCAAATTGACCGACATATTCAACAAATCCCAGCTGTCTTTTTTTTTTTTTTTCTTTCTTTTGGCAGAAATTGACAAGCTGATCTTCAAATTTATATGGAAATCCAAGGGACCCAGAATAGCCAAAATGATTTTGAAAAGGAAGGACAAAATAGGAACACTCAAACTTTCTGATTTCAAAGACCTATTATAAAACTACAGTAATCAAGACAGTGTGGCACTGGCATAAGGATGCACTTGGAAATGTTTGCAGACCTTCCTGGTGTCTGGGGCTCTGAGTTATTTTAAAATGATAGACCAGCCCACTTTAGGCTTTTAAGATTTTTAAGTTCAGCTGATTTCTTGGTGCCCACTTCTTTCCATGCCGTGCCAGAGGCAAAACGGTTTCTGTGTCCTGTTTTTCTTTGGAGGAACTTGTTACTCTGTGGCTTTCTGGGTATTTTTGGTTGTCTTGCATACTCAGCTGTCTGGTGAATTCAAGAATAGTTATGACTTTATAGATCACTTAGTCTTTTCTCATTGTTATGGTGGAAGGAATATTCTCTTCTTGCTTCCTGTATCCTAAACAGAGTGGAAATAACATGGTGCTTATCGTGTAATAGATTCAGCACTTAGTTAAAATTTGCATAAGTAGGTTGAATTCATTGAATACTTAGGTATCATATAAGTATTATGCTTAGTGTGCTGAGCACTTACAAATCATCTCATTTGATCCACACACCTATCTGTGAGGCTATAGGTGCTGCTGTTATTCCTAGTTTTTTGGTTTTTTTGTTTTTTGTTTTGTTTTGTTTTTTTTTTTTTAGATGAAACTAAAGCTTCATGGAGAAAAGGAACTAGAGGCACAACAATAAATATTTTTGTTGATTTTACCTAAGTCACCTTCCGTCTCTCCTCCCTCCCAAATAAAATTCTTGAGTCTTTTTTCATTTCTGCAAGGAAAGGAGAGGTGTCCTTGGCATTGCAAGTTCTCATTTCCTCATTTGATGGGCAGTGAGGCACAGTATAAATGAAGGAGAGGCTTTGAAGGGATCTAGTTGGACTTTTGATTAACAGAGAGAAGACACCCTCAGGTCTGAAGGCTTTGGGTGGTCAGTACTAGCAACTAGGTTTTGTAACAGGTGAATGACAAAATGACTGTTACAGCTTTGCTGCCACTTTACATTTTCCCCCCTTCCCTTCTGCCTCTGGTGTGCAGTAGATAATAGCCTTCGGTTTTCTTATGGGATAGTAGAATTTTAAGTATTTTCCATTACTGTTAAATTCTTGTACTAATCTGCTATGTGGGAATTCCTGTAGGTAGCCATCGTGCTAGAGACCCTATAATTCTACCAGTTAACATTTGTCTTAACAAATTTCCTTTGTAGGCTACATTCAGCAAAAGGTGGACTAACAAAATGTTTTCATTTTTTTAAAATTTCTGTTTTGTTCACTTTCATAAAAGAAACTATGAGATGAGCCTGATCAATAAGCCCAGATAAAACAAATGTTATTAATTCATCTCTTCAGCTATTTTCTGAAATTCGTTTTCCAAGATGTACCATTTGTAACTCACCACATTAATCATTCTACATTTTCTCACACTCTGGTTGATAGATGCAAGTGAAGCTTCATGTATTGCCTATCTTTGTTGGAATTTCAGCATCTTTTAAAATATTCCACACGTTAATATAAACTGGATGATAGACCCCTGGCCATTATTGTATTCGTGAACAGCATTAGTGCAGAGACAGTGCTAAAGGTTAAAGAATTGGAATATGGAGACAAGGAGGAGTATTTATATATGATAGTATATTTTATAATGTTCTAGCTTGATGTAACAGCTACTTATATGCTGCTTCTTCCCTAGTTATCAGGGAATATGAAGAATAGAGAAAGCATCCAGGAACCTAGATTTGATTATTACAACCATGAAGTTTCTGATATTGACCTCAGTGATTGTGAATTTCCACATGTCATAGAAATTTATGACTTCCCCCAAGAATTTCGTACTGAAGACCTCCTGCGGGTTTTCTGCAGTTATCAGTAAGTACATGCAAATGGTTGGGCATGTTTGGGAAGGTGGGATGAAGTTTTCTTAAAATGTCTTCTGAAAAATCATCTCTTTAGTTTGCATTACTTGTTGTTTACTTTAGCATCAGTTTTGTTTATTGTCTTTACCAAGTTGGTTAGAAATCTTCTGTATCAAGCCAGTCTTCTGAGTTCTTTAAAAATGCCAAAGTCGTTCTAGACCTCCATGTTAGCATTTAAGAATGTCCTCAGTGATGACATCTGAATGTCTTCATGGTGCATTTAGTCCATTTATATTTATTATAACTATTGATATATTTGGATGTATGCCTGCCATCTTTTTTTGTGTTTACTTGTTTCATCTTTTTTTCTTCTTTCTTGCCTTCTTTTGGATTGATGAGGTATTTTTTTCTCATTCTGTTTTGTTTGGAAATGATACTTTGTTTCTATTCTGTGGTGGTTACTTTAGAAATTACAAAATGCATGCTTAACTTACCAGTGGCTAAAGTTAATATTTTTACACTCTTTCCAAACATGATAAGAGCTTTTAACTCCATTTCCCAATTCTATTTCCTCCCTCTTCGCCACCCCAACTAATATGCTATTGTGACTATTCTCTTAATTTTATTTTTAAACTCCATTTGATGTTACTATTTTATATATTTAGCATTCAGATTTATCCACGTTCTGTGTTCTTTATCTATACGTCTTGCATCTCATATATCTTCCATCTGAAATATTTTTCTTCCTGCATGGAACATATTTCCTTAGTATTTAATTTAGTAACAAATTGCTGTTAACAAACTCAGTTGGATTTTTTGTTGTCTTTTAATGGCATTGTTTCAACTTCATTTTTCAGACATTTTTGCTAGGTGTAGAATTCTAGGTTGACAGTCATTTTCCTCTCAGAAACATGTAGATTTATTCTACTGTTTCCCGTCTTTCTCTGTGGAGAATAAGAAGCCAGCTAAAAGTTCACAACTGTTGCTTCTGAATGTAATCTGTCTTTTCTCTTTGGATGCTCTTAGGGATTTCTCTTTGTCTTTGGTATTGTGCATTGTAGTGTGATGGGGCTTTGCTTTTTTGTTTGGTTGGGTTGGTTTTTTTGTTCTTTTGTTTCTTTTGTTTTTAATTCTTGAGATTATTTGAGCTTCTTAAATCAGTAAGTATTTTTCATTGGTTTTGGAGAACACCCACATTATCTCTTCAGATAGAGATAATGGCCTCTGTGCCAGTCTCTCTTTTACTTTCTCTAAGATGCCAAGAAAATATATATTCGACCTTCTCATTTAATCCTCATGTTACCTCCTTTATGTTTTCCATGTTTGTCTCTGTTATATTCTAAGTAGTTTCTTTAGCTCTTATTTCCAGTTCACTAATTTTTTCTTTAGCCGTGTTTAATTTTCTGTTAATTCTGTCCATTGAATGTTTAAATTTCATTTTATGTTTTTCTTTTTTTCAAAATTATCCATTTCTCTTTAAAATCTGCATGGTCATTTTTTAGTTTCTTTTATTCTAAAATATTTTCAAGATTTAAAAAAATTTCTTCAAGTATATTAAACATAAACCTTCTGTGGTCTGTGTCTGGTAATTCCTTTACCTGACATCTTTTTAGTTCTGCTTCTGCAAATTCTTACTTGTAGTGCCTTGGCTTTTTTGGAGGCTTAGTTACTTTTCTTACTGTGAGCCAACTCTTTTCCTTGGAATTTTATTTATGGGAATTGGAGTCTACAGTAGAAGAAGAGGATTTCTCCTGAAAGGATACGCATTTTCTTCTTCTAAGCACCAAGGGCCCTAACAATTCAGCAGCACTATAAATTAAATTATTGATTTGAGGTTATTCTGACCACTGAGATAGAAATAGTCAAGTGGAGAATGGTAAGAAATGATTGTTATATGTCTCAACTAGTTTATTTTAACAACACATATAAACACTTGCCAGTCTTTGATGTGGTGCCAAAGCCTTTTATTTCTTTTAAGTTATTGGTCTATTGATAAAAGAGTTCCTAAATGTTATCTCATAACATATCAACTGAAGTAGAACAAGAACTTTAATGTACCTTTAGAGTCATCTGAGTGCATATTCCTTATAGGTTAAAATGTTTGTCTTTTATAGCTGTTTGCCCAAGCATAATTGGTCATTGTTCTTGGATTTTTTTAGTGACTTCACCATTCTCTAGTCTTCCAAAGCATTCAGTTAAGTTTTTATAGACACAACAATTCTTCTTTTTGACACTCATATTTCGTTGTTTAAATTTTATTAAATTATGTAGTGAAAATATAAATAAAAACTGATATAAGTGGGTTTGAAAACAGTTGCACTAACTCTAGTTATGTATATAGTTTATACATATATAGGACAAGGTAAAAGAATCAGAAGTGTACCTCTGTATCTTTAGCTTATAAGAAGAAAATAAGTTTCAGGGGTAAAGAAACAATCCAGAAAGAAAGTTATTAAGAAAAAGATCTTTAGGATCTTGAAGAAGTCAATACCAACAAGGATTATACTTTAACATTCTAATCCTGAGAATTAAAAATGAACTAAGTCCGTTGTCCGATGCTACAATTTTTAAATTTGTAGCATCGGACAACGGACTTAGTTCATTTTTAATTTAATTTAAAATTAATTTAAATTTAAAATTTGGGGTGCCTGGGTGGCTCAGTCCATTAAGTGTCCGACTCTTGATCTCGGCTCAGGTCATAATCTTGTAGTTGTGAGATCGAGTCCCATGTCCGGTACCACACTGGGTATGGAGCCTGCTTAAGATTCTCTCTCCTCCCTCTGCCCCTCTCCTACTCATGCATGCTCATGCTCTCTCTCTCTTTCTCTCTGAAAAAATACTCAATTCATATGTATCTTGAATTTTTAAGATTCTGTATCAGTTAGGGTTTAGCTCCCCACTTTTTCTTAAAGGGTCAGATAGGAAATATTTTAGGCAACTCTGCCATCATTGCACAAAAGCAGCCACAGACAATACAAATGAGCATGATTGTATTCAGTGAAATTCTGTGTACAAAAACAAGAACCCTATTTTTTTTTACAAAGTTCTAGAACAGATAGAACTAGCTAGCAGCCATGTACCTCACCTAAATTTGAATGGGGGGCGAGTATCAGTTCTATAACTAAAAGAAATAAGGGGGTGACTGGATCATGGAGGACATTTAATCTTCCTATACACCGTACGCTAAATTTATAGGTTTGCTCAGTCTAATTCATTAGCATTATATTAAGACCCTGTATCAGGGCCTGTTGCACATAAAGTGCCTAATAGATTTTAAAAAGCAGTCAGTGAGATTAAATCCCAAATTAGAACTACCTTAGATTGTTACTAGTAATGATGATTTTTAAAACCAAGGATTAGTTTTGTTGATGTCTAGAATTTCCTGAAGGCTAGTTAATTCTTATGAATTATTAATTTCCCTTTGCTATATTTCTTCCTAATCTTACCTGCAAGTCCATTTTTCTCTCAAACCTAAAAACAGTCCCAAAAGAGGAGAGGCATTTTAAAGGATTATAAAATTCCAGTCTAAAAGGCTCTCCAGAACCCATCTAAGGTCTTTTGCTAACCTTTTTGTAAACTATTATTATATAGACTCTTGTGCTATTGAACTTTTTTAGTCTCCAACCCCTGTGGTCATTTTATGCCATGGTCAAACTTACCCTTACATTCGGGAAATTCTCTAACTAGCCTTGAAGCCTCCTTCATTCCTTTTTTCCTCAAAGGAATTTTTTTTTCTCATCTGAAGGAAGATATTTTAGCTGTTGTCTTTTTCCTTTCTTTATAGTGCTTTATAAAAATAAAGTCAAGGTCATGGTACAAAAGCCTATAGTAACGTCTTGAGAGTCAAATACCTGAATCAACTTTGTATTTTAGTCACTATCTTTATCAATATTAATAATATTCCTGATGAATATTGCTATTAGTCATAAAAAATAATGAGCAAATTCATTTATTAAATGCCCGTAAGTGCTCAACACCGTGCTCTTTGTCTTGTCATAGATGATCTCATTTCCATTTTTACAATAACTGGAAGGTACTATGCCCATTCTACAGATGAGCAGACCTAGCTTCAAGAGAAGTTAAATCTGCCCAAGGTCTCAACATGGCAGAACCCTGAGTCCTTATGCATCTGACCCTTAACCCTGTACCCTTTCTGTAGAACCGTTGAACCTATGAGCCGTTTTAAGTTCCTAGCTGAGAAAAATAATGTCATCATTTTGATAGTCATTATGCGCACTAATAGCTCTGCTCCAAAATAAAGGTGTTTTTTAGTATTTCGTGGTCTTTCTTTTGATTCTGTCTAATCCTGTCTGATGTTTCTCTGAGCTTGATTTCTTTTATCCTGAATTTTTCTGACTTTGCCACAATTCTTTCCTTTTTTCCCCTTCGTACTTTCTTTTACAACTAGAAAGATTAGTCAGCCTCTCTGATTAGAGTTGTCTTTTTTTCTCTATTACTTACTTTTTTTTGTCTTTGGGGTTTTTTGTTTGTTTCTTGCTTTGAATGACCTGTTTCCCTCTCCCTCTCTGTCTCTCCGTGAGTCTACATTTGCATTAAATCCAGGTGACCTTCCCTGCCTCCCTCCTCTTCCAGTATTCTTCTACCCCTCCTCTACTTTCTCTTTTCACCTCTTCTTGTTCTGTGCCCACAAGAACATCTCTTGTAAATAGTGCGATAAATACTTTACCTCCCCAAGGGACATGTGAGGATTAATTAGTTGATGTCTATAAAATGGCTGGGAACATAAAATACTCCCAGGTAGTTCTTTATGATGGTATTATTGCTTTTAAAATTCAGTGGCTTCTTCTGTCCTCCAAGCTGTTTTTTGTGTCATTATCCCCATTCCACCTGTGCTCGTTGAGTGTTTATCTCATCATGAAATGCTTTATGAGACTCTATTTGAAAGCTGTTTCATAAAAGTAAATTTTATTTTAAGAAATAAAATTGTGTTCTTTTGTTGCAGAAAGAAAGGATTTGATATTAAATGGGTGGATGATACACACGCCCTAGGAGTATTCTCCAGTCCAATTACAGGTATTCGCCCAGTGGATTGTGGTAGTCTTTTCTCATTGTCCCTTTTCTCCTGCTACTTGTTCTTATTTCCCTTGTATTGTAGCCAACTGGCATTTTATTCAGCCGGTTATAGGTGAATGGCAGAAGCAGGTTTTTGAGGCATAGTGCTTTGGTACCATGTGCTCCCTCTCTTCCTTTTCACCTTAATCCAGTGGTGTTTGGAATGAGAGCCAACTCCTTCCAAGGTTACATGCTGTATAATGGTCAGTTCGGATAGTACATAAGCAGACTGTAAGTAGAAATTTAAGAAACCAGTGTGACTGAATCTTAAAATTTTTGTGATGTTTTTCCCTCAGACAAATGAATTCGAAATAGCCCTTTAACCTTTCCAGTGAGAAATCTCTCCCTGGAAGTAATAACTCTCACTACATAATACCTACTTTCTGAATATATGAGGGGGCCTTTTGAATTACATCATTAGCTTCATGATTGATGTGATGCAGAAGCATTCAGAGAAATGAGAGATGTTGGATCCTGTCCGAACCACTTAGAATAGGGATCTGCAGACTTACTCTCTAAAGGACCACATAGTAAATATTTAGGGTGTAAGGTCTCTGTCACTACTTAATTCTGTTGTAATAAGAAAGCATCCCTAAACAGTATTCAAATGAATAGGAATGGCTCTGTTTCAGTAAAATGTTACAAAAATAGGTGGTTGGCTGGATTTGGTCGCAAAACCATAGTTTGCTGATCCCTGATCTAAAATAATCACTTGCCGACTTGTTAATAATGGATTTTGTAAAGCTTGCCGTGGGAAAAAAAAAAAAAAAAAGCATAACATCTAGACATCTAGGAAATAACTGTCTGAGAACTAGCCTTAAATTTTCCTCTGTATCACTCTTCTTCATGTCGTCTACTTCCTTACATGTATTCTTCTTTGCAGCTCGTGATGCTCTGGGTAGTAAACATACCATGGTGAAAATCAGGCCATTGTCACAGGCCACAAGAGCAGCCAAGGCCAAAGCTAGAGCTTATGCCGGTGAGCCTATAATCTCGGGCTTTTCTTGTTGGTAGTCTATTATTGTTTTCTCCAGCACTTACTCCTCATCTAGAATTCTAAAGACCTATCACTTTTATTTTTTAGTGTTTAAGGTAGTATGTTCTTAAAGAGAAAATAGAAAAGATTATGTTGGAAATATGGCATTTGAGTAGCCAGTTGGAGAGAGTGGGAGATCTGGCCAAGCAACGCAGCAACCGTTTTTTTTGTTGTTGTTGACGTCCTTATCTGGTTTACCTCACTGTTGAGCTGTTTGAGTCACTGTAGAAATTGTATTAATACAGATAACGAAGCCAGGATTGTTTGTGCTTTGCCATTTTAGTTTCCTCTGATGATCATCTATTGGCCCATATTAATTACTGCTGATGCAGCCCTTGTTAGTCTATTTTATATGTTAATTATGGAGTTAAATCGCTTGGCACTAGAGTGCCTTCTCTTCCTTACTTCCTCTTGCCCCCTCTGTTTCTCCCATTCAGAGTTCCTCCAGCCAGCAAAGGAGCGTCCTGAGACTTCAGCAGCCCTAGCCAGAAGGTTAGTCATCAGTGCCCTTGGGGTTCGAAGTAAACAGAGCAAAACAGAAAGGGAAGCAGAGCTCAAGAAACTGCAGGAGGCCCGAGGTGAGTTGAAGTGATGGTGTTCTTCTCTAGTTCTCTAGAGCTCACTATAAGACATGTGGTTAAAAAAAAAAAAAAAAAAAAGGAACGGAGCCCTTTCCCTTTTGTCATTTCCATTTCCTGGAAGCCTCCCAAGTGTATTAAAATTGTTTTCATGCCTTATATTTAGGGTGGAGACATTTCAGGATTTCTCTTCCTGTTCCATACACCAGGCATCCTAATCCATGTTTCTACTGTGGTTTTCTAAGAGATAGGTTCGGTCTTCTCAGCTCATCATCCATGGCTTTCGCTCTAGTTGTTGCTCCAAACTCTGAGCAAACTTTTCCTGTAAAGACATAGTAGTCTTTCAGACAGAAAACATTTGCTGTGGTTTTATTGGACCTTGATTGCCATGATATTATCTAATGGTTTAGATTGTAGGTAGAAGACAAATTAAGGAAAAGCCATCGACTGACACGGATGATGATAACTGTAGGAGGTATTTTTTCCTTTAAAGGCAGCTCTGAGTGGCTCCCTTAGAGTACATATGGATTAACCTATCTTCTGATTATTTTGCAGTACCTACGAGTTCTTAGAAAATATTTCCACTGATCCACAGCAGGGTTTTTCTTTCCCTGTAGTTTGGAGTTGAGGTTAAAATTTCTCTCTTCCCTCCTTACAGGCTGTTGACTTAAATGTAAAGGCCTGGGATTCTGGCTTTACACTTAAGTACTTTTTATCAACCTTCCAGGCTTTAAACAGTCTCATTGCCTTAGCCCACGATCTGTGGGATCTGTGAAGGCAATTTATTCTGAAAATTCCACTTACCAAAAAGTAACTTCATTTTTCCTTTAAACGAATTGAAGTTTCAAACTCCTTGTTTATTGCCAGTCTAACAAGGCCATTAATACTTCCTGTCCACTCTGCTTTGGTGATAGCAGGCGGCTTGCAGACTCTCAGCTGCACTGGCCAGATAACCAGTGACAGAGTGTGTCATGGCAGGTGCTAGAGTTTCAGAGTTGAACCCAACTAATTTTTTGAAACCTTAATGATTATAATGAGGCAGTTTTGATTTTTCCAATGCACGTTCACTCAAGGGCCTTTTACGGACTATAGGTAGTTTTTATACACGGCAATAACAGAACTAGAGTAAAGCAGAATGTGCAATGTCCTTAACCCTTTATTAATGGTTATCTCTGAGGAAAGTGTTTTCTCTGTGATAACCACAATTATCTCAGAAAATCGCAAGAGGGTAATAACTGTGGTATCTATAAGGGAAGATGTGGCTCTTTTTGCAGTGTATTATGTTTCCCTACCCTACGCGTGTAATATTACCTGTATTTCCACAGGTACTGCAGCAATAGTCTTGCACAGATGTCATCTTGAGTATTCCCCTCTGTTTTTCTGTAAGCACATTAGCATGTAGCTTCATTTGAAGTGTTTGTTTTAAATGTCCCCTTATACAGAGGACATTTCAGTGATGCAGTTAAAAATGAGACTATTGGCTGAGTACCCTGTTACTTAACTTTTTGAAAGAAGGCCTTGATTTGTGAATAGAGACTCACTGTGATAAGTTCCTCTCATCCATTGGTGCTGAGGCTGTACAGATTATAGAAGATTCTTCCTTTATTATGCTTCAGAGCTCTCCCATTCTTCATATCTGAGAAAACGCATATGGAAAATTCCTGATATATCTCTTTCTGACTTCTTTATGCATTAAGCAGATATTCTTGTACCTGCCTGCATGGAGCCCAAGACTTCTCACTTAAAGACTTTTTCTCTCTGGAAATGAAAAGTACTGTTTAGGTATTCAACAGAACAGATATTTTTGCTCCAGACCTTTTTCCACTGGAGGGGGAAGGGATCAGTACAGCTTGGTGGATAACATAATAGATTCTGGAATCAGACTGCCTGCGTCTACCCATAAGCTCTACAATTTACTGGCTGTGTGACCTTGAGCAGATTACTTATTCTCTGGAGGCCTCTGTTTCCTCATCCATAAAATGGACATGAAGTGAGATAATCCACAGAAGATGCTTAGTCATCTTCAGAACCTATAGAAATGCACTCTGTCCTGTTTCTATAGGTCTGTAATAAGTATGTGATATATGTTAGCTGCTGCTGTTTTTAGTAATAGTAGCAATATTATGAGTCTAGCACAGATCTCAGTGCACATTTTTTGTCATTACTTTTTTTATTTTAAATTTTCTATAACACTCCAAAAACAACATTTGACATTCACTAAGCACCTGCCCTGTATGAATTATGCATTATGCTCCTACTTGGGAGAATTAGAAAGACGGCAAAATTTTGTTCCTCTACTTAAGACTTAGTCTAGTGAGGATATCTACCTTGAGTAAAGAAGAAAATAATTTTTTCAGCAGTTGTTTCTCTTCTCACTTCAATTTGGAAGACTTTTTAAAAATTCCAGTATAGTTAATATACGGTGTTAAATTAGTTTCAGGTGTACAATATAGTCATTCAACAATTCTATACATTACTCAGTGCTCATCAAGATATGTGTACTCTTAACCTGCATCACCTATTTCACATCCCTCCCACCCACCTCCCCTCCGGTAACCATCAGTTTGTTCTCTATAGTTAGGAGTTTTTTGGTTTGTCTTGGTTTTTTCCTTTGTTCATTTGTTTCTTAAATTCCACATGAGTGAAAAATCATATTTTTTTATGCTTAGCATTTCATAATCATATTGCTTAGCATTACACTCCCTAGCTCTATCCATGTTGTTGCAAATGGCAAATGGCAAGATTTCATTCTTTTTTAATGTCTGTATAATACTCCAGTGTGTGTGTGTGTGTGTGTGTGTGTGTGTGTGTATCACCTCTTCTTTATCTGTTCATCTATCAGCGGGCATTTGGGCTGCTTCCATAATTTGGCTATTGTAAATAATGCTACAATAAACATAGGGGCACATGTGTCCTTTCAAATTAGTATTTTTGTATTCTTTGGATAAATACCCAGTTATGTGATTACTGAATCATATGGTAGTTCTGTTTTTTATGTTTTGAGAAACCTCCACACTGTTTTGCTTAGTGACTGCACCAGCTTGCATTCCCACCAGCAGTGCCCGAGGGTTCCTGTTTGTCCATATTTTCATCAGCACTCGTTTCTTAGTTATTTGTTCCAATAGTTAGCAGCTTTCACTGTCAAAAAATTCTTCCTTAGGTCTAACTTATACCTGTACAACAGTTTAAGCCAGTTTCCTCTTCTCTTTTCCTTGTTAGAAATAGGGAATATATGTGGACACCATTCTCTTCTAATTTTTAAAGATCAAAGGCAGATTATTTAGGAATAAGGGAATTTGGGCTGTAAGAGGGTTTTTGCCATTAACATTAGCTGTGTTGCCATGGGCATGTCTCTTATACCTTTCTGTGCGCCAGCTTCCAACAAAGCAAAACTAATGCCTAATTTACCCTGGAGAATTTTTTGAGCATAACCTAAGGTAACGTGTAAAAATGTTTAGAAAGGTGCTTTACAAATTCAGGATACTATTATTTATGTGACTCTTAGCAAATTAATATTCATTATAATGAGACAGTAATGACACCTATGTAATTTGTACTGTTGTTCCCCATCCATTATCCATGACAAACAGTGCTAATCAGTTACGGCACTCTTTTTTGTGACTTTTGACTTGACCATTGCCAATTGATCAGAATTTAGCATGGAAATTGAAATCTGTGTACCATCCTGATATAGGTACTCTCATAAGCAGTACTATAGAATAGCTAGGATTCCTCTACCCACCCACTTGAAGAGTTCTCCTGTCTGGCATAGTGTCTGGTTCATAAAAAAATACTCAATGTGCATTGACTGAATACGTGAGTGACATTGGTCACTTTTTCTTCATAAATCTTATTTCATTCATGATTCTACTCTGAACTGTTTCAAATCCTTTATGTTTTTCTTTATAAAGCCCAGAGTTGAACACTTCCTATGAAAACCTTGTAATTAATGAATTTGGGATTTGTGATTTTGAGGTTTAAATACTTCCTGCTAAGTTTCCTCACCCTACTTTGGTCTTCTTACCCTTCTAATGAGAAGTCTGTGTCTTAGTCCTTAATTAAAAATTAGATTCAGAAAACAAAGCTACTCTGGGAAGAATCAAGAAAAAAGAAGTACCCAAATCATTTTAAGCAAATCATGTGTATATCTGGAGGATAAGAGCTTTTTAAAAGTTCATAGTCTTAGAATATGGAGAAGAGGTTTGTCAGTCTGACAGAGTGCATAACAGATCAGAGCTGCACTAAGAGTGGGAAATCAAAGGATAGATCATCCTCCATCCTTTGTATTTGACTTAATCATGTTTTAAACCAGTGATTCACATGAAATAATAAAACTACATTTTAAAGACCAGATTCAGGAGTATATGTAAAATTTCCCCATGTTTCACTTATCAAAACACTTGATTCCCACCTAAAATTGGAGATAGAAGATATCATTACATCTCAGAATAAGCTACTCTCTCATTTTCAAAGCTTGCTATAATTCTGTTTCTTATTTCCATTTACTCTTGGGGGTAGGTGCTTAATTGACTGGTTCTAAAAGGCATCTTTTGGGTCACAGGCCTGAAAGGCAGAGTAAGTAAACAATCATTTGATCCCCTAGTTTGCTTAATTAAAATAACTGAGAACTTAAAAGTAAAATCATCCCTATAGAATACTTAGTCAACTGTAATAAAAAAATTTAATTACAACTGCTACCTTTTGAAATTCTTTTTAGGCACTCCATTATTCTGCCTTCAATGGCTCTGCTGCATTGCTGACTCATAATCTAGGTCGTGTGGCATTTTCTTGGTGTCTTTTCTTTCCTAATGTGAAATTCCCTTCATTTCCAATCATTTCTCTTTTCATCTTAATGTGATCTTTTTCTCTGAGATGCAGTATTTACCCGTATTTTTGCTGTCACTTGCTGTTTAATATTCTTATATCACAGGCCAGTATCAGATGAAAATGTTAATTAACCCTAGGATTAACTGACCAGTTTACCAACTATTGCTAAATAAAGAACACATAGTTCTTTGTGTTGACACTTAATACATTGATGAACATTCTACTCTCCAGAGTTAAATGCTCCCCTTAAACACTTATGTGGTCCAGACTATCTTTCCTGGTATATTAATGATTATATAAATAGTTGGTAAGCCTAAAATCTAAAACCTTGCTAAAATTAAGAGGTCACTTATATTATTTCACCTTAATCTATCAGGTCTGTCAATCCATAAAAGAAGGCAATTAGATTAGTTTGACCAGACTTGTGCTTCAAGTCTGCGTGTTGATTATTCCTCTGTAGGGAGTTTTGTGATGATTTTTCTCCATTATTTTCTTAGGCGTAGAAGTAGATTTTGAACGTTTTAATTTACATTCCTTTTCTTTGTTTTCTTTTGAGATGACACTGTATTGGCTCTTTTTTAATCTTTATCCCTTTCCATTCCCTGAGTGGTAAGTGGTGATTCAGTCAACTAATTTAATAAAATCATTTATGCAATTTATTTATTATACTGGGAAATGAAAGTCTTTAGGGACAGCTTACATGCACACTTTAAGTTATCATTTCATACAAATTCTTCTATTCTGCCTTTAGTTCCTTGCCCTTATGGCTGCTGTTGGGCTTTCTCTTTACTTAGTTTACTGTTTTCTAATTGTTAAAGGTAAAGGTAATAGGAGCTCTTCTCATGCAGTCTGTCAGGTTAATATAGGAGGTCCTTGCAGGCAGTCTATCAGATATTATCTGCTTTCCTTTCTCTCTCTCTCTCTCTCTCTGTCTCTCTCTGTCTCTCTTTTTTGAGAGCAAGCACGGGAGGGGTGGAGAGAGGCGGGGAGAGAGGGAATCTCAAACAAGCTCCACACCCAGTGTGAAACCTGACATGGGGCTCCATCTCACGACCAGGAAATCATGATCTGAGCTGAAATCTAGAGTTGGATGCTTAACCAACGGAGCCACCCAGGCACCCCTCCTTTCTCTTTTTTGTTTTTCATTTTCCCCTTTTCTTTGTAGATATATTCATATGTCAGGACAGTAGAAAGTATGCTGGTTTAAGAATTAAAGGCCTGAGTTCCAGCTTTAGTTTTTCACTGAGTATGTAACCTTAGCCAAGTCACTTAACCCCTCCAAGCTTCCATTTCCTCTTTAAAAAGTATTTCTCGGGGCGCCTGGGTGGCGCAGTCGGTTGAGCGTCCGACTTCAGCCAGGTCACGATCTCTCGGTCCGTGAGTTCGAGCCCCGCATCAGGCTCTGGGCTGACGGCTCGGAGCTTGGAGCCTGTTTCCGATTCTGTGTCTCCCTCTCTCTCTGCCCCTCCCCCGTTCATGCTCTGTCTCTCTCTGTCCCAAAAATAAATAAAAAACGTTGAAAAAAAAATTAAAAAAAATAAAATAAAATAAAAAGTATTTCTCTATTCAGGTTCTGAATTACTAAATGTATGCCTCACATTGTTACTATTTCTTTGTGCTTCTCAGTCTGTCTCCCAGCCTTCACTGGTTAACCACCAGAGTTTCCTCATATATTATTTTACATGTATTTGGCAGTAGAGATCCATAATCTTTTATTATAAAACATTAGGGTGGGAAATGTTTCAGTATTCTGAACTGTATTCAATTTTAGAAAGATAATATCATTATCTTAATATGTATTTCATAACACAAAATCAGACACACTGACAGTATTTCTGCCACCAAGTGTATGATTGTTCCATTAAATGGCATATGTAAGACCATAAGCAGCCTTTTATCTTTTCAGGTTATATTTACTACCAAATGAATTTTGGCCCTAAACTTTAAAAAAAAAAAACAAGTTTAAAAAAACCCAACTTTTCCGAAGTGCTTTGAGTTTAGAGTTGCGAATTGTGGTGAGTGGTTTATTTTTCTACTACACCTGGATTTCTTTTGTTAAACTTCCCAGATAGTCACTCTGATTTAAATTTCTGAGCTTATTGAAAAATTTGAGTTCTAGTAGTTCACTTTTCTGGTTTCTTCAGTTTTCTAGGAATCCAGAACCAATTTTTGATTGCTTTCGTCCAACATTGCTTTTGCCTTTAGATCCCCTTCTAATAACTTTACCCTGTTTATGAGAATCAGAACCACAGTGCTTTCCTAAGAAACCCTGGAATCCTTTAGACAAGCCAATTATCCTTAGCGCGGTCTCCCTGGAGAATCCCAATCCCAATTGAAGCCTGTCTTAAAGCCAAGTCACAAGGCACTGAATTAATTAGCCTTCAGTTTGGAATTTGCTGACCCTCTTTTTTTTTTGTCTGTTATAACTTTACTGTTATATTCAGATAATGCCACAAGGTGGTGCCCAAATAGCAGTGAATTTCTCTATCTCACATTTCCAAATGCCAGTCAGCTTCCTGACCAAGTTCTTTGCCCTTAAAGTACAGTCAAATACATTCAGTAAAGGAATTTTGTAAGGGATTCTGCTGATTTGGAAAGGTGTGTCAAAATAGCAAGTGTTAACTCTAAACTCACCTTGATTTCTGTGGTAATTCCCCTGGTTCATGACTTGCAAAATGTTTTACAGACTTTATTTGAAATAATAGCCCTTGAGAGGAAGCACTTAGGCTTATCATCTATATTTTATGGTAAATGACTAGCCATGAAATTAGAACTGGTATTGTGGCACCTAATGAAGTGCTCGGGTCACCAAATCATGTGTGGTCTGTATTATCTCAGGTCTTGGTCAAAGTATTAAATGGAAACCCAGCTTCTCTGTTAAAAATTGAAGATGGATTGCCCAGATTTCTGATTTTTTTGTTTTGTTTTGTTTTTAGAAATAATTCTTTATTTCCCTCCATTATATGTGGTTGTTTTCCCATGTTGGAATTGTGTGTTGTGGAAGGTAGGCTCTTGAAAATGCTCTAAAAATACTGAAATTTGATTTGCCTCTGAAAATTTTTTTTCTGTAAGACTGTAGTAGGGAGATCCAACTAGAGCCCAGTGGCCACCATTTCTATTTGAGCAAGAAGACAGAAGAAGAATATTCAAACCTATTCTTCATCCCTATTGAAATATTTTTAAAGATCAGTGAAGTGGGAAGAACAGGCAATTATATTGAAGCACTAACACAGTTGAGAAATAGAATGAAAATAAATACATTATCAGCAAGACTGGAGTCTGGTCCTGCTAGGTTCTGACTTACTCCACATACTTTTTATTTCTGTTAGCCCCAGATCTTTCTTTTTTATTATATAGTACTAATAACATTGCTTCCACTTATAACGCACTTGGAAAGTTAAAGATATTAACTCTTGGAGTCAGGTAAGAGAAGACCAGGAAATTCTCCTGTCTCATGACTGAAGTTTGCTTATAATTTGGATTAAAGGAAAGTCACTGGTTATATGGAGCGTACTTCCACTTTTCATACTGTCCTTACTTACAGAGAGAAAGCGACTGGAAGCCAAGCAACGGGAAGATGTCTGGGAAGGCAGAGACCAGTCTGCAGTTTGAACATCACTTAAGGAAATGGATAGTTCCATGAATTCAGAAATTAATTCCATAGTCTTCGGATAGGAGGATCCTTCTAGAGTTCTGTGTACATGCAGAAGTGCGTGTTCATGAAAGAACGAGATAAAGCCATTGAGGCGAGCACTGACTGGGTCTAGAAAGAAGGTGGACTCCTGTCCGTCTTTGCTTCTAATTGCAGTCATTTGGAATTGCCATACTGTGTTGGGCATAGAAAGGAGCCATCAGCTAGGAAGCTGACTTGTGGCAATTTGGATATGACTTCCAAGAGTCCTCTGGGCGTGGCAAGCCCCACTGTTACCATGGCTCATGTGTCTAAGATGTCTGAAGCAGATACAAAACAGAGGATTCAAACCTGCCATGATGGGCCATTCCGGCCCTGAAAAGGTAGGGTGTTCTTTCGGGCCTCACAGAGCCAAGGGGTGGCGGAGGGAACAGTGTTTGAAGTACTTGGTACTCACCGAATCCACACTGTCAATTCCAGAACTCTGGAGCTGGTGAGCTGCAGCAGATGTAGGTGTTTGAGCTCCAGAGTTTGTACTGGGCCGGGCGCCTGGGGCTGCTCCAGCTGCACAGCAGCCAAGGGCATGCCTGCTTCAGCCCTCTAGAAAGCCAGCCTTGGGAGCCGTGTGCTAGTCCCCGCTGAAAGTACTACCGTGTTGTGAGAGGGAGACATTAAAGCTCAGTCTATGACCTACATCACTGCTATTTGTCACTTTTGTCATTCCCACAAAAAAACTGGGGAAGAGCTCTCCTCGTATCTTCATCCCTATAAAGTTGTGCCTGGGTTCAGTGGATCTGTTGGCTTTATTGAGCCACACTGAGTAGACTGCTGGTCCTCTATCTCTCTGCCTGAGTATACTACAAAAATGCCTCTCTCGGGATGGGTATGTGGTAGCTCCCCTCCCCTTCTTGCCCTCCCTGGACATGCCCACCCGAGCCTCTTGCCTTCTCCCATTTCTGTCAAACCTGACATTCTGCAGAAGGCTTCTGGCACACAGCATGTTCTCGGTATCATCTTCTCAGCCTGTGCCAGAGGCACCTGGCAAGCAACACCAGATGATCCATTACAGTGAAGAGTTGCCAGAATAAAACAAACACCTCTGGGCAGTGAGAAATTTCCTAAAGGACACTGACAAGTCTGAGCCGCCAATTCAGGCTTTATCCATCTCATACCTGCGCTCATTGTTTTTGGAAGGAAGTTCTGCACTGAAGAACTGGGAGTGCTAGACTTTAATAGGTTGAGCTAGCAAGACATAGTGTCCCATCGTGCTTTCGTTGAGGGCGGCAGCCTCATATTTGTGTGTGGTGCCCATGACAGTGATGGACAGAACATGTTAGAGTGGGGGCTCTGTTCAAATGTTCCTCAGATGACACTGGCCTTGGGTCTTAGCCCTGACCCAACTGTCCCTGCTGCTATTCTGGTCTTGGAGGCTTCTTGCAGCTCCTCAGCATTGTTTTTCTCATTCTTGGTCAGTTCTGAAAGTGTCCCTTGTTCCTATTCAGGGCCTCCCTTTCAAGTTGAGAGGATTAAATAAAACCTCTTGATCCTCTGTCCTAGTATCTGGTCCAGTGCACTTCTCTGACTTGTAGCCACAGGGCTTGTGCTCTCTGTCTTCACACAACAGACTTCTTTAAGATAGACAGGTCTGTTCGAACAGCATGGCTACACTGGAAAGGAAAGGCAGGGAATCGTAGCCAGGCTTCATACTGAATGGTACACTTCTGAGGTACACCTTTGCCCTGTTTTGATTCTTCAAGGCTAAGAGTGACCTTGGGCAGTAAAAAAGATGATTGTCCCTATTACTTTTCTAATAGCATTTAGAAATGCTATGTCCCTTTTCTAATAGCATTTTGGCTTTTAAGGGCGTTGGTAACGTAGAGCTGCATGTTTATTACCCAGTTTTCTTAATTACTCCTAGCTTTTAAGGTACTGTTGTCATTCTAATGCTGTCTACTAAGTGGCTAGTAGCGTATGCTTTTTTCCAGCTTGCGATCAGCCACCTCTAACTTTCAGACTTATCCTTATAATTAGACCCACAGAAGGGATTTGTGTTTAGCCGGTACCTAAAGCTGTGAAGTGTTGCTGCTTCCACCATTAGTAGAGAACGTGCTGTTCTTTTCTTGAGAGAGAGACAGAGAGCAAGCATGCGCAAGGGAGGGAGGGGCAGAGAGATAGGGGGACAGAACTTCCTTCTAAGGAAGGAAGGATCCAAAGTGGGCTCTGTGCTGACAGCAGAGAGCCTCATGTGGGGCTCGAACTCACAAACTGTGAGATCGTGACCTGAGTCGAAGTTGGACAAGCCACGCAGGCGCCCTGAGAGTGTGCTTTTTAGGTATATTTTCCATTGATGTGTACGGGTGGAGGTAAGAGGACCTGTCACGGCCCAGCGTGGACTACACTGAGCTTGTGCAGATGGAAACCACATCCTTGGCCCCATCCATATGCCTTCACAAGCTGAGCCAACTGGACAGCACCCTGTAGCTGCCCCTGGCTCCTTTGTTAGATATTCCAGAAGACTATGAATGTACTCTGCTAGGTGTTTTTGTTGCTTCATACATGTTAAATGACTAAATCCCAGTGTCACCTGGTATCTGTAGTAGAAATGTACATCCCCTTGGAGTCCTAACATGCTCCCCATAGAGTGAAGGTCTTGGTGGAATAGAAATAAATTAGGCTTCTAATTAGTAAGCCGAGGTTCCTGGCACTTCAGCTTCTCAGACTACAGAATGCCGGGGTGAAAGTCTTCTGACATTTTTGGTTCTGTCTGGAATTTGGTGGTTGGTATTCTGTTAACATTCCTCATCTAGTTACAAGCCATGCCAGCCACCAGTCTTCCCACGTCCTTCCCTTTCAACTCGGTGGTGTAACAGCACAGCCCTTGTATAGCTTTTTCCAAGAATTAGAACGGGCTGCACCTATCAAGTGTGTGATGTGGCCAACAAGACTGAGACCGGAGCCAGTGGCTGGCTGCCTGGCCTGCTTCTTTTGGCCCTCTCGGAAACTGGATGCAGGAAGAAGCGGTGGGTACCTCCCTGCCTGAGTCTAGTCATCAGCCGCCACACGCTCCCCCACGAGCTGCACATTCTTTCACAGACCATTAGCTGCATGTGCGAGTATAATGTTTTTACTGTTTGGGAGAGGTTTGCTGGATCCAACAGGAAATCAGTCCTTCCCTTGTTTACCTAAACTGCCATGCCAAGATATAATGCTCCCTTTGCCTGATGAAGGAGTGGAGAAGGTAGAAGAGAAGGGGGAAGAAAGCACTTCTTTGTATTCAGAGAGGATAGCTCAAGATCATGTCCCTTTTTACCCCGTAAGGAGGGAGGGGATAGCTCACATGCTGTGGGGAGGGGTGTACTGTTGTAAATCTGCCCCATCTGCTACTGTTCATTTCAGCTTTGCAGCCTCAGTTGTAAAAGTTTACGGTCCTTGGGCTTTTCCTTCTTGCCTCCTCCCTTTTGTCCCTTAACCTTTCCAGCCCACGTTTCAGCCCTGAGCCTGGGGAGAGAATTGGGAAGCAGACTATAGTCTGCTAACATCAAAGGCTGATTTCAGAGAAGTGTGGTGGGACTGTTGTGAGTAGTATGTGTGCCCCACGTGTACTAGTCACCAGCTCAGCAAGAGTGGAAAAGGTTAGATTTCATGGGCTAGGGACCCCAAAGAGCTATATAGCCAGTCTTGTCTTTGTAGCTGTCCATACTGAGCAACCTTTATTGGCACTAGGGCATCAGACCTGTAAGGATCATCTCTTAACGTGTGTCTAACTTATTCCATGCAAAGTTCACTCCAGAAACTTGGTTGAGACCTGAAATTGAGGCAAGTCCTGAGATGCACAGTGATCTTGAGGGAGATTGGATTGCCTGCCAGGTGTATGGCATATTTTCTCCTTGGCAGAGGCCCTGGCAGGGGCCGGGGTCCATGTTATCGCAGCAGCCTTTCTGCTTGGACTTCTCTTGCTGCTCTGTAGGAAGACCCTATCTGGCCACTTCTGCAAGTCCTGCCCCTTCTCAAGCACTCAGTAATTGGTGGTGTTGGCCCATCAGGAGATAAGGGGATGCCTGAGGCCTAAGCTTCCAGGATATTAGAAACACCCATATGTGCAGTAGGATAAAGCTAAAGGCACTAGAGCAGACTCTTAGAATGACAGGTGAGTTCTAAATGAGCGCAGATTAAACAAGGGACTCAATTCATCAACTTCTCTGCCAGTTGTGACTTTGACACAAGTTGTGTTGCTTTGAGCTTCTAGCAGAGCTAATCCTGCCTCCTGTGTATTTCTGTCCTTCGTCCTCTACTCCAAGACTTTTGCAAAGCACCGTTTAAATGGGGGGTTGGGTCACAGCCCATCTCTAAGGAACTGATTACTCCTGAGCCAAGAACACTGGGGCAAGATCCGGGAAAGATGGGGTCTCCTTGTGGAAGAGCAGCTCATCTGAACAAAGCCTAGAGGCCACAGACCGTAGACCAAAGGCCTTTACGGGACAGGCCCAGAGTCATCCTGAGGGAGCAGTACCATTTCGTTTGATATCTTGCCATCAAAGGGCTTCCTGAGCAGTTCTTGGTGCCACTTGGCACTGGCCCCTTTCCTTCTGAGTTAGGGCTCTGTGAAGGGCATGGCTCCAATAAGCTGAGGTATCTGGTGTGTGGGCAGCAGCCGGAAGTGTGCAGTGATGGCCTCAAATGAGGTTGTTCCTGAGACGCTGCTCCTGCTCCAGGGAGAGCTCTGCATTAGCTCGGTAAGAATCTCCTGTGGACCAAAGAAGAACAGGTAAGTAGCCAACCCTACCGTGCTCTCATCCCCCCCTAACAGCTTCAC